CTCGACAAAAAGCTATAATGTATTGAAAAATAATAAATGTTTATGCCGGAAAATTTGAAAAGCACTTTTATCTGAAAATTCCAGAATCTAGGTATTTTCTCACACTCTCATGTGTGCAGTATTTGTTTTCATGATAGATATTCGCGGCCGTCTATGAATATTAGTTTTTCGATTTTTTAAAGATTTTCAGTAACACATAAGTCAAGAAGTAAATCTTAAAAGTTGCTAGAAATCAAGATCAAGGGCCGTTGTCTGAATTCTGGACTATGATATTTTGTTATTATGCTATTTCACTGAACAGGAAAAATATGTTCAAGGCATAGCAGATTTTTTCATACCTGAATTTATGTTCAGAATTTGTTCAGAAAGCAGGACTGAATTAATAAAGTAAAAATTCAAATCGAGAATTTCTCCATGTATATAGATAGAGTTTATTTAACTATGTTACATACAAGTATGTTTATAGCAGGTCAGCAGGGCAAGGGAAAAGTAGCACAGTAAAGTATCAATACTAACATATTAAAATACAATATAGTGGTAATTTTGAAAATGTGATAAAAATAATTAGTATCTGTAATATATATCAAAGAATTACATGACAAGCGTATATGATATGATAAAAAATGACAAGTATCAATAAAATAATTTGAAACAATCACATAAATGAATAGATAAATAATAAGATCAATTAAAAAGTTATAAAAACTCAATATCAACTCACTGTTAGTTGCCTGCATTACATTTTATCCTAGCTAATCTTGAAACTAATGGAATACTTTGAAGTTCAGAGTGAATAGGATGTGATCAACAGTAAATTACCAATCAACTAATCACCTAACCATAATTGACTATGTAGGTAAATTACATTCCTTGTACCATCTTGCACATCGGATCAATTCAAGGATTTTATAGAGATCTGGCAACAGCGGAATGATTCCCAGCTGTCAGAACTCCAACCAATCAAATTGCAAGAAGACACTGACATCACAGCTCAGTATTGTTTGAATTCACAGGTATTGAAATAGCATTTTTTCTGTGACGGGAAAAAAGTTTGGCATCTCATCCCTGTTGGCAGGTTATAAAATGTCACTTTTCATAAATTACTTTTTTCCCGTGGGAAAGAAGTGAGTACTTTTTTCCCGGATATATATCACATATATACACTGTTGATGGCTTTTGTTGAGCTATAGTTCCGAAAAATGAGTCAATAATACCGTCTCCGAGAAAGAACTGCAAGTCCTTTTATCTTCAATTCGTCTTCGCGGTTACGTATATTGCTAAATAACCACTGAATTCGAAATTTCTTGAAATCAAATCACAAAATTAGACTGACAGAAGTGACATCAGATATTTGATTACTTCAAATGAATGATAAAGATGCCTACAACGCGGTGTCCCTACTGTTAAAACCTTAAAATTTCACGTCGATAATTTTCAGATTTCAAAATAATGTAATATCTTCTCAAAATTGATTCGTCCTTTCTTCTGTCACAGAAAAAAATAGTGTATTATACACGGGAAAAATATTAGATTTTAGCTCACGGTTTTTTGTCTCCCTCCGCTACGCGTCGGGAGACAACACAACCTGGAGCTAAAATCTACTACGTTTTTCCCTTGTATAATATAGTTATTTATTATACAAGGGAAAAAAGTAGTAGATTTTAGCTCCAGGTTGTGTTGTCTCCCGACGCGTAGCGGAGGGAGACAAAAAACCGTGAGCTAAAATCTAATATTTTTCCCGTGTATAATACACTATTTTTTTCTGTGACAGAAGGAAGGACGAATCAATATTGAGAAGATATTACATTATTTCGAAATCTGAAAATTATCGACGTGAAATTTCAAGTTTTTAACAGTAGGGACACCTGCGTTTTATAGGCATCTTTATCATTGTTTTGAAGTAATCAAATATCTGATGTCACTTCTGTCAGTTCAATTCTGTGATTTGATTTTAAAAAATTGCGAATTCAGTAGTTGTTTAGTAATATTCGAAACCGCGAAGTCGAATGGAAGATAAAAGGACTTGCAGTTCTTTCTCGGAGACGGTATTATTGACTCATTTTTCGGAACTTTAACACAACAAAAGCCATTAACAGAGTATATATATATGTGATATATATCCGGGAAAGAAGTACTCACTTTTTTCCCACGGGAAAAAAGTAATTTATGAAAAGTGACATTTTATAACCTGCCAACAGAGATGAAATGCCAAACTTTTTTCCCGTCACAGAAAAAAATAACTATTTCAATATTAAATAATTCATTTGTCGTTCGATTTTTTCGATAAATATGTGGTCAGGAAACAGGAAAACGATTTCCACTTCCCTTCATAACATTATAGCGGAATTTGGTTAAATTTTACGATACTGGAAAGGCCCATTGTATAGGGAAAATTGTTTGCATAAATTGTACTATAATAATAATAATCTTTATTATTCCCAAGAAACATATATGTTTATAGCAGGGAAAATTAGGAAAGAGCAACTAAAAAAAAAATGAGATAATCAGATAATCATTTTTAAATCATATACATAATACATATAATGTTTCTTCTAGAGACTGTTGAATATAAGTTCTTGAATTGATTTAGGATGATATTAGAGAATCAAAGACATTAGTTATTTTTGTATCTAGAGCGCGAAATGCTACTTTGGTGATCGAGATCTGATTTTTCAACGAGGCGTAGCCGAGTTAAAAAAATAGTCGAGATGACCAAAGTATTTCGCGCTCGAGTTGCAAACAACATTTTTTCTACAAACGTCAAAAAATATAGTTCTGAAGTAAAAATATGCTTAGCTTGATATCGAAAATAGTGTTGAACTGGCTTGAAAAGGCCTCCCCCTATCCTCCCTAGGTACGCACGATGTTCCATGAACATAATAGGAATTTCCTTTCGTGCGCTACAAGAAATAAAACAAAGTTATTGTTGAACATTCAGAAATAAATGATTTCGTGAATGTTTGTTCGATTGAGGACCATGAAGTTGAAATATAAATATCTCATATATTTTACATAACAATGCGCGAAGTAGGTACTTCGCGCACTGTTTTACTTCGCGCACTGCTTCGCACATTGTGTCGTGGTAACGTAGGAAACTGAAAAAAAGTGTCATTTCGCAATTTGTTATCAATGCGCGAACCTTGTCATTTCTTGACGTTTGTAGAAAAAAGTATTTTTTCAGTTCTTTTTTGAATTTCTCTTCAGTCTGGCAGGTAATTCATTATAGAGAATTGGTCCATTGTATAAAATAGATCTTTACCCATATCTGACTTAATTTTGATGAGAGTTAACATATCTTTTTGTCTGGTAATGTGTTCGTGTTTATGACTATTGACTTCAAAATTCAGATTTGAATGTTTATAATTATATTTGACGGAATGGATGAAATTTAATATTTTGAATTTGTAAAGGGAGTTAATATCTAACAATTGTCTAGGTTTATAAAGATTTGTTGGTTCCAAGTAATCTAGTTTGTATATACATTTAATAACTTTGTTTTGAAGGATTTTGATTGGCTTCATGATTGATAATCCAGCTGAACCCCAAACTGAATTCAAGTATTGTAATTTTGAATAAACCAAGGAAAAATATATACATTTAGTATTTCAAAGTGATTTGGTGTCTGATCCTGTAGAGTACTCCGATTACTGGAGATATTTTCTTTCTGATCGATTCAGTATGTTTGGAACATGACAAATGTTCATCAAGGAATATCCCAAGGAATTTGATGGCTGTGGAATATTTGATGATTTTATTATTAAATTTGATATCAAATTCCAGTTCACTTGAGAGGCGTCGTTTAGAGATATACATGAATGCTGATTTGCTGTAATTAATACTCAATTTATTATAGGACAACCATGAAGATAAAATAATCAAGTCACTTTCAATTGCATTTCTGATTTGTTGGATTAAGTCTGCGAAATAAATCAATGTAGTGTCATCAGCGAACATGTAAACTTTTCCTTTCAATTTGATGCTAACAATCGAGTTGATATATATAGATATCGTTTTCATAAGTTAGCTTTATGAGTGAAAATTCATTCATTTGAAGGATTCGTGATTTACAGGGTGTCCCGAAATTACCCTGCCCAACTTCACCAGCGACTTCTACGACAAAAAATTCAGGACAAGTTTCGACGAACATGAGTCGAAAAATGTCTCCTCAGAGCTACGGCCCCCTGAAAGGGAGCTCCTGGAGATAATAGTTCTTGAATATTTCCGAAACGCCATGCATGTGATGAAATGATGCAATTCGGTACAAGAACCAAACTTCCCATGCCTAATGCAGTAAAAATAAAATCATTTCAAAATTTCATTCTCGAACTTTTTTGCAAGCATAGTTTTCGACAATTTATTTACGGATTATGAAAATCCACAGCTCTTTACAGAAAAAAAGGTATTCTTGTTGTTCCGTATCGAAGAGATGTATCATTTTAGAGTGAAATTGATTTCATAATATCGTTACATCTCAGATATTATATGCCGAGTTATATGCATAAAATTATTGCAATCTGGGCTGAAAGACCTCGGTCAATGGCCTTTTGGGGTATATCCCTAATAAAGATGTTCTCTCTCTCTCTCTCTCTCTCTCATTATTGCAATCAAACGCGTAGTGAATATGGAAAAAATACACAAAAATTGAAGTAGTTTATGTTATCCTCATTCTCCTATTTTACGCGCTTCTACAAGATTGGTGGGTGAAATTAAAGTACTTTTTTTTATAGCAACTTTATTTCAGAAATTGTCAACGTTATGAGTTAAATGTGTGAAATTTTGGAATGATTTTATCTTCAATGCATTGGACATGGAAAGTTTATTCTTGTACCGAAAAGCATCATGTACTCATCTTCCGGGAGTCCCCTCTCAGGAGGCCGTAACTCCCTTAGGAAATATTTCTCCACTCATGTTCATTGAAACTTTTCTCAATATTTTTAGTCGTCGAAGCCGTAGGTGAAGTTTGGCAGGCTAATTTCGGAACACCCTATATAACTATGATCTGTGTACCTATACTCAGATATTTGTTGACAGCCATGTTTCCAATATGAATGGGTTATATATAAGAAATTCTTATTTGAAATATATTTTGAATTATTCTCTTTTTTTCCAGATCGGATGGCACCGAATCTCCAATTCTCGAAGAACAGGAGAGTGCCAATTCAGAGAAGCCAAAACAACAAGTTAAATTTGGTGAACTAGTCATTTTAGGGTAAGTACGTTTATCCAATTTACTTACCTACTCATTATATAATATTTCAAGTAACGTTTTTTTTTAAATTGCGTTGGAATCAATATAAACATATAGATAAGGATAATGGTTTCACAATAACAATTATCATAATAACAATAACTATTCATTATTTTACCGTTACATGCCCGATTTGAAATAATGGAGGACTCAATGGAGAAAGTAATGTTTGCTTCATCGCTCACTATTTACATCAGTGCGGACACTCGGACAGTTTGATATATATTATAATTTCCGAATTTTCAGTAAAAGTAGTTGGACATTTGATATGAAATTGACTTCATAAAACAATTGATCGTTCTAATTCCTCCACTCGAGATTAGCTTCTACCTGAATAACGTAAAAACTTCTAAGGAATCCAAATATGGAGTGAGAAAACACTGAAAAACCATATGCGGGCTGAACTAAAGAAGTCATATTTTGAAAATTGACTGAATGGATCTATTTTGGGATCTATAGTAGTTACTACCAAGGAACTATATTTTTTCCACCACTAGCAATGTATTTCAATCGTTATAGTTCCGTAGAACGGTGGAAAAAATATTTTGAAAGATGTTTGTTCTTGTGAACATTTAGTCGTCTTCGATGGCATTTAGTTTCAGTTTTGTACATCGAGTTGTACAATCACTCAATTCTCAATGTCTGAAATTTTCTATATGGAGTAGCTACGTAATATCCTTTTTCTGAGATAATGTGACATATTTTCTCCCTATAGGGAGTTTATACCAACTTTTTCGGAACACCCTTCTGAAGCGCGAGTATAACCTGCATCATACAGATTTCTAGATCTCAATGGTAACAAGTTAAGAATCACTGCAGAAGCAGTATTAATAGTTTCTTGGGGTTTTCCCTCGATTTCTTGTTCCATAACAGTTGACCAATTTCAAAGCTGTTTTCATAAATTTCAGTTTGATATTGCTGTCACCATGTAATGTCAAGATACGAATTCCACAAACTATACTACTACTAATTATGACAAAACACTTTGACCAAGTTTTTATTCTTTCTTAATTTTCGTGTTTTCGCCAGCGTAAAATATAGTATATCTCAGGACAGAATGCTATTTGCTTGCATTTCTGTCTCTTGATGTATAATGTACTAATTCATGACACTTGACCGGCACGAACGTTCTACTTTCTCTGCCTAGGCAGAAAATTACTACCTATAGGCAGGAAAAGTTTGTTGCTATGCAACCGAGTATGCAACGGTCTAAGCAACAATTCGAATCAAATTGGTAATCAAAATTGGGAGTGGCTTTGGGTGAACACAAAATGATGGATTATTTGAAGTTTGCATGAAATTGGACAAATTTGGAAAAGAAATTATATGTTTCACACGGCATAAAAACAGATTCAATGTCTTGTGCTTTCCTGCCTACTAAAACAAATAATTATTTTCTCCAAGCGACATAGAAAATGGCTTTTCTCTGACACTTCACTGGCAGGAAAGGTGTACTTTCTCATCCTAGGCAGAAAAAGTTTGTTTGCTATGCAACGAAATGGGTAGGTTGCGTTCGGCCCAATTCTCGATTCACCCAATTTTCGATTGGCCCAATTTTCGATTCGCCCAATTTTCGATTCACCCAATTATCGATTCGTCCACCATCTCCGAATATACCCGAACGATACGTTGTTGCCAAATCTGAATGACGAATCATTCTGGGCTTATCATTATTAAGTATTTAATTTTTTTTATACACATAATATGTATGTATGGTACATATTTCAATCTGCCCAATTTTCGATTTACCCAATTTTCATTTCGTCCAATTTTCGATTCGCCCTATTTTCGATTCGCCCTATTTAGTTCAGTCATTGGGGATCCAAAATAAGGCTTACCTGGAAAAAAGTCCGGAAGTTTTGAAACTTTGTAGGATTATAGTTTTGGGTGTCCAGAACTAAAATTCACAAAATGCACATTCCGGGACATGCCGCCGGCGCCGCCATCTTGCCAAGATGGCGCTCAAAAACGGATTTTTGAAAATATCTTCAAAACGGTGCGTTTTTAGAAAAAATATGAAAACATAAAAATTTAGGATGAAGAAATTTTCTACAAGAAATGTTTCGAGCATATTTCTGCTAAAGAGAGCCGTTTAGGCTCAAGAGCTGATTGAATGACAACATATTCTGTTAAATTCACTATCTCCATATAAATTCATATTTTATAGTAAAACGGGCTATTCAATTTGTTCCTCGTTATATTGGACGATGTTTAGATCAATTATGCGACAAAAATTTTGCATTTGTGACTTGCGATTATTTGGGCGATATAAAAATTGCATTATCGACGAATCTGGCGACTTTGCTCCAGAAGTATGTGGGTGCAGGATGGTTATGAGTAAATTTCGTACCTATACTATGGATCCGTAGATATAGGTACCTTCTCGTACTGTAAAACCGCCCATAAATTCATAGAAATTTGAAATTTTGCTTTCCTGTCTTTACCACTCCATCCCAATATGAGTAAATACACAAAATATATATTTCAGATGAGATATTTTTATAAACGGTAAAAACACAAGAACTTTTTCATCAACTAAATTAGCTTTCCTAACGAATACAATTTGCCAATCAGTAATTTTACGAGAAAAACGGACATGAAAAAATTATGAGACCGTAGGTCGAATAATTTTGATGTGCTGAATATATGTACTTATTTCAAAAAAAAAACCTCGTATGAATAGCAAAAAAAAATTAGTTTCATTAGACTCTTTGAAAGAATAATAACATCACACAAATTGGGCGATATTTTTTGGGCGGTTCATTTTTCAAATTTGGCGCGCTCGGGTTTCAAAAAGTTGGTAGATCTGCGGGCGCTGGCTATTTACCTCAGTCATCTGTACAAGGCGCTTCCAAGCAGATCCGTTTCATTATAAAAGATAAATTTATACGCATATTTGAAGATAGTTTATTGAAATTAACAGATTTGATTGTCATTCAATCAGCTCTTGGGCCTAAACGGCTCACTTCAGCAAAAATATACTGAGAACATTTCTTGTAGGAAATTTCTTCATCTTAAATTTTTATGTTCTCATTTTTTTTTTAAAACGTACCGTTTTGGAGATATTTTCAAAAAACCGTTTTTAAGCGCCATCTTGGCAAGATGGCGGCGCCGGCGGCATGTCCCGGAATGTGCATTTTGTGAATTTTAGTTCTGGACACCCAAAACTATAATCCTACAAAGTTTCAAAACTTCCGGACTTTTTTCCAGGTGAAAATTTTCGATTCGCCCAATTTTCGATTCGGTATATCTTCTTCAATAACAGAAATGAGAAACCCAAATTCTTAAAGAACATGGGACAAACTTTTCGGGAGATAGACGTCTTTGAAATTGAGGCCAATTCTCATTGGCTCATTGCTCGTTTTTTGCTGGGTAGGGTATACCGGGTGCATGTCAACGTCAACGAATCTATTAGACAAGTCATAACTTCTAGACCATTAGGTTTATCAAAATGAGATTTGGTATAGGTGAATGGTATGTGAAGAGGAGAGTTTTCACATATTTTTCACTTCCCGGTCACTTCCGGTTTCACCGAAAATGGCTCCGGTTCTAAATTTTTAAATAGAACACCCTGTATATTGTAACCTTTTTGGATTTCTGAGACAATTCTAGATCAGAATTTGACATTTTCGGAAGTTTTTATGCCGACTCAATTTTTTCGGAGTCACTTTTGAAATTACATCTAGGTGGCCATGATCGGAAGTAAACCAATCTAAGGACCTCAGGTGATATCAGAAAATTACAATCGCGAAGTTTCAGTGACAAGTATGATAGATATGAATAAGACAAGTTGGCAAAATTACATTTTCGTGTCTAACTATTATATTTCAAATGGCGACCATCTTTTGACAAGCATTTGCCATTTTTGCTATCAAAGAAGCATAATATAAACTTTGTGAATTTTATTTTCCATTTTAAAACGTTCATTCAAATGTTTTTACGCCACCGATATGGGGAAAAGCTTTATAGGTTAGTATACAATACAATCATGATGGTAGACCCCCAGATTGAAATCCTTATCACGCCGCTGACTACGCTACTGAAGTTCCTGGAAATAACTGGATCACCATTTTCAATTATGTTTGTTTCTGTTCTCATTGAATTACTCAATATTATTCTGAATAAAAAACCTATAGTAGATAAATTCTCATCTGTCCCTGTTTTTATGGTTTCCCTTCGACTTATTTCGTCATTCACGACTGTTCCACACATTCACATTTGTTTTTCCTACATTCGTGGGTTTTCCTCGCAGAAAGGATATAATAACAGCTAATAAGGTCAAAGTTCAAGAAACAAATCGAGAACAAACTAAATATTAGTAAATATACCTATGTATAATTATAAAGTTGATCAGATGTCTATAGATATATTCGAAATGACGAGATCATAATCGTTGAGAATAATTCGAAGACAAACACGACAACCACTATCAAAGCCTCCATCAAAGCCAACTATTATTGCCATAATTAAATTCATTACTATTTAATGTGTGTATTTATATAAATTTCATGCATTCCATGACATGAAGATGACATAATGACCCCCTAATCACCCTAGTGCTGCTACGCAGGAGCATCATTCTTATTACACTCCACTGTCAGAGGTATCTCGATTTCCTTGATGTATTCTTGCTTGAAGCACAGTTTAGAGAATATTAATATTCTCTAAACTGTGCTTGAAGTCTCTTTAGCTTTGATTTTGATATTTATATTCTAAGAAAACAAGGACATGCCAATTTTCACAAGATTTGATCCGGTATTCTAGTCACAATTTCAGATTATCTTCAAAATTTCCTCAAAGTATTTAAATCGAATTTTGAATCATCCAGCATATACAGGGTGTCCCATAAGTCATGAATCAAAAGATTTAGGGTGGTTGGAGGGTCATTTACAATCAAACTAACCGTATATGGTGGTTATCTAATTGTTGATGGTTCAAAAGTTATTGATTTTTTTCATTTC